TGACCTCCCCCGTCCATCAGGACAACAGCTACACCTCTGTTCTATCTTACTCTTGATGTTCCTGAAGATTTTAAGATGTTTTTACTGATGTTTGGAAGCTTCATTTAGCAAATATTCCCTGTGCCTCATTCCGCATCCCTGTTACCGCCTCCACCTCACTGGGCCTCAGCCCTTCTCCCCCAAAAGATGGGATGAAAGGAAAACCCAAAAGCAAAGGAAATGAGGGCTTGGGCAGAGGTTACCTGATCAATATGCAGCACCAGCAGCAGCCATAACAGTGTTCAGGAGGCATAAACTAAGAGGACCTGTGGAGCTCCGGAGCGTGGCTGGATGATGCCCCTGCAGCAGCACAGGCACAGCTCAGGAGAGGACCAAACCAAAGCAGCCAGGTTAAACAACCAAAGAGCCTCCACCAAATGGAGCTGCAGGTGCTGGAGGTGCCCCAGGTCTGCCCCTGCCAGCGCTCTGTGGGGGGGACCGCAACAGAAACCCTCATGCTGATGAAGTCTGATACAGGACTTGCTGCTCTCCCAAGGGCTGCCATGCCCATGGACACAGCTAATTCCCTTCAAAGGGTCCCTATATATAAAACCCCTATATATAAAGCCCAGCCAGAGGCACCAACAGGAGAAAGAGATGTAGAAGCAGCCCTCTATAAAGGCAGAGCTTCCTAAAATGCAGCACAGGGGTTAAAAGGTGTTTAGAGCCAGGGGAGAGAAACAGATCTCAACACCTTCATAGAGCTTCCTGGCTTGGCACCACTGCATTGAGTTGCTAATCAGCTTCCTGTCTCATTAAGAATCCCCTGCATTTAATTTCTGAGTGTCTGCTGGAGAGATTGACTACAGGGATGAGCTGAATGGTGGGGATTTGCTCTCAGCACCTCAGTTCAGGGGGTCCATCCTATGTGTCAGGAGTAGGAACCAGCTCGACAAGGGTGCTGTGAAGAGCACACCACCAAGGTGGAGTGTTTGCAGCCTCCCACGTGAGAGAAGCTTCACAGCTCTGATTTAGCCTTAAAATAACCTTCTACCTGACACTACTGAACCTGCAAACTGAAGATGGAGCTTCTGGGTTTAGGTTGTCTGGGCTAAATTCAGCCCGCAGCTAGAGCAGTTTGAATCAGGCCAGGTGAACTCTTGTGCCCTGAACAGGAGACACTTCAGTATGTGCCCAAGGAAGCAGTTGGGTAAGGCAGCAATCACATTCAGCTACTGCCTGAGGGGTCTAAATCCCATCTGCTCAGAGCCTGCACCACAGACACCCCTGCTGTGAGCATTTTACTCCAGCTTCACCGGCTCCACACCAACGGGGCAGTACCTTTGTTGTACACTATTTTTGTAAGAAAACCAGCTGTAAGCAGACTGTACTTACTGTAATGATGGGTATTTATTGGCTCCAGTAGCACGCAGCTCATAAATAAAGGTATCCAGAGGCTTTAGACAGCTACGAGTCTGGAGTTTTTAAATGCCAGTCCGGTTTTAAATGCCAGTAGTACCACTGCCGAGCAGCCCAGTGACACCCCACTGCACCGAGCTGGACCCCTCAGTCAAAGCCAAGTCAATGAAGAGATGGTAAACTCAAATTCTATTCCATGGCAATGATTATCCAAAAGAGAGAGAGTGTCCCTGGAGTAAGGAATCACAAGCGCTGAGGTTGGAGCTGTTAATGTAATGTGCTCCCTCTGGTATTCCAATGGCTGGGAAGTGATGCTAGAAAACTGAAAGTCAAAGATTTCATGCACCTGATTAGCTAAAGGTGTGATTGCTGGAGCAGCTTGCCAAAGAGCTTCCTCATCAATCACAGCCTTTAAACCAAGCCTGGAAACCTTCCAGGGAAGATATCCAATAGATCAGCCACAAGCAAGCAGATTTGCAAAGGTTCACTTCCATTAGAGAAAAGAATTCCCTTCACAGCAGCAACTGCGGCATGAAATCACCTCGTCTACGTGATGTCGGATTCATTCAGCATGGTCATTCTATCTGGCCTTAAATCTACTGCTTCCTTGTGCCTTCGGGAAGGATGTCAGGAGATCAGTCAGAGCAACCCTAAGTGCCACAGGCCTGAGGCTCTCCACTGGCGAGTGGGGAGATGAGAAACTGGGCTCAGCAGTACTGGGGTCATGGGGAACCTCACCCCAGGCCGCCCATCCTGGATGCATTCACCTTCCTGCAGCCCCTACAAGAAACACTGAGCTTGACCACGGGGTGCACATGGAGCTGCACAGCATCAGCACTGTAGCAAGCCCAGAGGTCAATGTGCAGGGGATGGAGGAGCCAGACAGCCCCATCTCTGTGCCATAGAAGCTTACAGGGGTTTGTTTTCCTCTTTGCAGCCACTCAAGTTCCAGCAGTTAAGGCAATCCAGTTATTCCACTTAGATAAGCTTCAGTAGCTGACAGCAACTGAAAAGCTGCCTGTGCCTCCCCATTCTGTTATTCCCTCCTCCCTTCCAAGTGCTAATGCCATTAGCAAATTGACTTCCTCCCTCACACAATCTGTCTGCCTTTAGTTTGTACAATGCTAATTGCCTCCTAATACTGATTGAGCACAAGTTTGTCCAAAGAAGCAGCCTCCAGCTGGGACCAGTCAGCAGCAGGGTTGGTGTGTGTGGATGCTGCAGCCTCCCCATGGGTCAGGCAAACAAACTAGGCTGAGAAGTGGTTCAGGCACCATATTACCAATGCAGAGCAGAAAAAGACACTTTTTGTCCTGTAATTCAGTCAGTTATTTTGGTAAGAACAGGGACAGGGGCTAAGAAAACATGGATATTACAGGAAGAGACAGAACGAAACGTATAGATGGGGAGAGAACAGTGTTACAAGGGGTCCTTGCTTCAGCTTTCACTGACCCCCTGTACATCCCACCTCCCCTATTCCCTTTCTGTGTCCTTCCTTCCCCCCAGCTGTCTGCTCTCTCTTCCTTCTCCTCCACCCCCAGCTAATCCAGACATCAGCCAAACCTCAAAAAGCACATCAGGAGAGTGTCATTTCAAACAGCCATGATGCCAGGAAGAAGCCCAGATCCATCCCTTCTGACAGCTGAAGCTGCACTGGCCATCACAAACCCACCTCTTAAAACAAGCATTAAAAATAAGTATATTATCCATCTTGAAATAACCATTAAAATATGTATTAATGTTTCCTGCTGTGGGCATCTGGGTCCCCTCAGAAGAACAAAGACAGGACACCGTAAGATGAAGGACCCTGCTGGCTCCCACCCTGACCTCCTCAGCTAAGCAGGAAGAAAATGGATTGTCCTGGACCTTTCATATCATCTTTCTGCGAGTCTGAAGCACAGCTGCCCACAGGATGCAATGTCATTTCCATGACAAAGAGCAGGGAGGCTCTTCCAGATGGGGCAGCTTCTCTCTTGATTTTAGCCATTACCTCCCAATCCAAGCATGTCTGCTCCTGCTATTCAGGGAGTTCTTCAGCACAGCCTGCCCCAAAGCAGCCCAGGTCTCATCCCACCCAGCACGACAGACAGGGGAGCAGACAGCAGCTTCCTCTCCCCTGTGATGGGCATTACATTCACCAATACTATCACCCATCTCCTCATGCTCAGGGGGCAAAAAGAGCTCTGTAAATCTGGTGTGTGGGAAGTTCCTTCCCAAAAGGGTGGCCCCACGCATCAGGAAGGGGCAGTGCATCTTCCCAAAGGCATCTCCTGGCACTGCCAAATGTCAGGTTCCAAACTTCGGCTGGTTCTTGTGCCCATTAAAGTCTCCCCATGGAAAGAGGGAACTCGTACAAGTACACACCAGGAACTGAAGCCTGCTGACAGGCTTGCTCCTCCATTTGGGTACAGCTACTCAAGGTCCACAGCCCACTGACCCGATACACTTCCTGCCTTCCTCACTGCACAGAAAGACTTAGCTTCCTATTTCAGCCTGATTTTCTGTATAGGATGATCAAATCAGGTATTTACCTCCACATGCAACTCTTTCCATATTAAAGCATCTTTTTTGTTCTTCTGGCAAAAAGGAATAGCATGCTTCAATCTGTAATATTTTGTGCTGTGCATTCCTGTTCTTTAGTTCATAGGGAAAGAAAAAAGGAAATAGACGTAGTAAATATAGTTGTTTGCTGTAAAATAAGATGCAAAGTAGAAAGAGAAGGCACTTAATAGGTCCCTCTGTGAATTCTGCTACAAAGGGGGGGAACAATACTGCCTATGGAGACGCTGCGTGGTTTATACTTATTAATCACCAGGCAAAATGAAAGCTCTGCAGCCCACTGAGCTCCTCCCTTCCTCTCCCTTAGGAACGAGCTCAGCTCTGAGTCATGATTAAAGCCACCCCGTTATGTTCCTAAGCAGCAGATTTGCTTGGGCTCCCCAGTGCTCCCTGCCTCGCTCTTCTCCACTACAAAGGAGCAGGGCAAGCTCCAAGCTACTGCTTGAAGGTACTTTTCCCAGCTCTAGTGGAAGGAGATAAATCCCTCCTAAGGAATCAGGCACCCACTGCTTGTCCCAACACTGCCCCACAGTTACTGAGACCGTGGGGATCTACTTTGAGCTGGTGGAAAGGACACCAGACAGCTAGGAAAGCAGGTTTGGAATGCTGCCTCGAAAGCACCTCTTGCTGGAGAAACACCACCTACCACAGGGCAATCTGTGTCAGCTCCTGGCACCAGAGCCCTCAGCAAGGCAGAAGAGTAAGGAATAAGGATCACAAGTTATTAGCTAAATAAAACCCCCTAAACACACAGAAGTAAAATAAAGGCCTGTTAGAGGAACGCAGCAAGGCAATGAGCAGTTTTCTGTGGCTCAGTGTCCTTTAACTCCTGTCTGGACCATTCCAGACCATCCTTTCACACACTGCCTTGCTCCATCTGGAGCTCTCTCTGCACCACTCCATTAAGACTCAAGCTCTGGTTCTATGGCCATGTACTAAATTACTTTGAAGCTTCAGAAAGTATCTGGGAATAACTGTGTCAGCCAGAAAACCCACAACCACCCCCATGAAACACTGCATCAAGAAAGAGACAGACAAGAAGGGACATTAAATCTTAGCTCGTTGCTCTGCAGCTCTCCCTCTCCAAATCCTCTGCAAGCAGTGGAGCACCACGCTCAGCAAGATACCCCCTGCCACCCCACTGCCAATTCCTAGCAAGCACTGATAAAACAATTCTCCTTTCCAAAAGGGCTCCTCTTCTTGCTCTTCATAGACACCCGTTTCTAGGTTCTCTTCTACCTTGCTTGCTGCTAACTTCTGTTCCCAAGTCAGGAATTTTTGGAAGTTCAGATCCACCAGGTCCTTGTGGATCACCCTGACTGCAAAGTAGACCCTCTTGACCACTCTCAACGTCTTTACCACCTGCACTTCGCACCGGTAAGTCCCTGCGTCCGACTCCTTGGTAGGGGAAAACCTGACAACAGGCCTGGGGTTTCCGAAAGGTCTGAACAGGACGTCCTTCATGGTGATGAGGCCTGGGGCAAAGCTCCATGCACAGCTGTAGGCTTGGCTCCCACTGCCCGCGACGTCTGAGGTCAGGCAGCTCAGCTGGAAGGGCTGGCCCACGGCGAGGGTGAAGTGGTGCAAGCCACAGTGCCAGCTGGCGAGGCAGGCGGTGCGGCGCACGGTGCAGTTCTGCCTCTGCCCGCCCGGGCTGAGCTCGCACAGCTCCTCCAGCTTGAAGCCCAGCCCGCAGGTGACGCTGCACAGCGTGGTGTTCACCACCACCGGGGCCACAACGGACCGGAGCTCTGCGGGGATGGTAACGCCTGCAAGGGAAGCCACCAAAGGCACATGCAAAGCGCAAAGGAGCAGCCCAAGGATGTGGCTGCTCCCCAGGGGCTCCATGCTGGGGTTGTCAATCAGATGGGTCACCACAGGCATTCTCTGGACGTCTTCAAACTTGGTAGCTCTGAAATGCTGCCAGCATCACCTTCAAGACCTAATGCTTCAATTAGGAAAAATCCTCCAACGAGACAGGCTTGAAGCACAATGCTGCTGAAAGAGATGCAACACATTACTGCATTGGTCAGAATGTGAATCATGAGTGCAGCTGTGGGAACAGGGCAGCAGGATGTTTTAATCCACCACATTCCAGCCATTTGGATATAGTTGACAACTTAAAGATGAAATCCTCCCTTCTCTGCAAAACTTTTAGAGACTATTTGAGATGATCCTGAAGGTCCCTTCCAACCCAAACCATTCTATGAGTCTATTCCCACCATAAAGAAGTATTGTTCCAATTTAACTTTCCCACCAAACTACAAATAATCACTCCTGGAACATTTAAAATGCTGTTGGGGCATGAGGAAAACCTGAATCCTTACACAGCACCTGCATAGTTCTGGATTATATACACACATCCCAAATCCTAAAGTACTCCCCAAGTGACCAAGATCACAAAACCAACATTGCAACCTCTGGCTATCTTACAGCACTGAAAATGGAAGCCAACCTCAGCAGTATTTTATCCTGGCTGTGCAGGGCTCACTGCAGCCCCATCTCCCCGTTCCCAAGGGAACAGTGCTGATGTCACAGCCCTGGGGCAGAACGTGGCCCCAAAGAACTCCCCTTCCTTGGAAGCCAAAGCGAGTCCTCTGAGATGAGGGCTCAACATAAAAGGCTCCTGACATCAACTGCCTGACTCAGGAGGGGTTCACCGGCCCCGGCCCCTTGGCATCGCTCAGAGGAGCTGCGAGGCCGAGCCCTGTGCCACGTGCAGCCACCGACCCCAAAGCCCCATGTTCAAGTGATGTGTGTGTCAAACAGAAACCACTCCCCTGCTGCCACCGCAGCAAACCACAGATGAGACATCCCAGTGTAACCCACGTAGTGCTCAGGTGTCCCAAAGGAACACACCAGCTGTGGTGAAGGCACAGTGTGCTCACACCAGAGCTGTGCTGCTCTTCCTAACCACTGTCCCCACAGTCGGGGCTGTATGGAAAAGCCAAGACTTAGCCATTGACTTTAGGAAATGAAACATACCTCTTTATTTACAACCACAAAACCTACCATCACTGCTGTAGACTACCACCAAGCCAGTATCTGTCAAATACTGTACAAAACTACAGATACTAGAAAATAAAACAGAAGATGGAAGAAAAGAAACCAAGGACATATACACTGTACAGCAAAGGTTTACCAGAAACAGGCTGGAGTCTGTGGCAAATCACATGCTTTAGGACAACCTGAAGAGCCACTGCCTGTGCATCTTTTAAAGCTCGTGGGGTCAGCCATGCCACACTAGGGTGGATTGGACACAACAGTATTCCAGGGGAGATGCAAGTCATCCTACAAGCAGAAAGAACAAGGAGAACTCCTACTGTACACACGGATTTCATTACACGAAGCAGCCACTGCACCAAAGCCAGAAATGAAACCACCAGCGTTAAAAACCCTCCTGATTCAAAGTGTCTCCTCTCTTCCCATACTTCATCTCGTGCAACTGCTGCACGCTTCCAACTGCAACTGAAGAGATCTCTTCACGACTCCTCTTGTTGGGTTTTACCGTCTGCAGGATGCTTTGACAATTCCAATACACAATGATGAGCTCAGTAATTACAGCTGGGAGAAAACTAAAAGTAATTGCATAGGAACTATAAGTGTCTATGAAGCAAAGGGCATTAGGAATGAAAACCTTTTAACAGACAGTCGGTCTGGTACAGAGCTCTCAGGCTATCACTACTGGATAAAGTGTCTCTTTCCATTCCCACAAGGAAAATATTCCAACCATCTTTAAGGAGGAAACGGTTAAAGCATGGCTGGGAGTGAGCTGTTAGCATTCATCTTCCATTCTTGATCCAGAGGTGGGGTTCTGGTTTTTCTCTATCTGCCAGTTCCTATCAGCCGAGGAGGAAACCAGTTGCTTCCGGTAGGGCACCGCACAGGAAAGGGACAGAATAAAACCACTTTTGCTAGGACAGAAACTGCCAACACTGCTCTTCATATCACAGGTTAAAAGAGAGCATAACAGCTGAGTATTTTATCTAGAGCTCCTTCCTCCCATAAGCAGGGTCATCCTTCATGTCTGAACTGTTCACAATATGAAGCTTCATTCTTTGCAGACTTCAGAGGGTCTCTTGATTCTTCACCTTAGGTCTCTGTCCACCTGGCACATAATCAGCAGGAGCCTCAGCACAGAAGACATCATAGCAAGCTACCCAAAAAGCTGGGAAGGTGAGAAGCTGGCATGGAAGGAGTCACAACTCACTGAAATGAAACTTAACAGCAAAGAAAGGGAAGTTTGCAGGATATAGTCACCAGGAATAAAAATGCACACTTTGGGTATTCTTCAATCCAGGAATAAAAAAAAGGGGATTTAAAAGACAATGGTGGTAAGCTCTGGAGGTCCCTTCCAGCTCACTTTACAGTTCTATATATCACCACAAAGGCAGTCCAACGAGTCTCTTTGCAAATCGCATGACCTGAGAGTTAGCATCTTACACTGTTCCATGCAGAGGCAGGTAAGGAGGAATGAAGCTGCTTCCTCTTCCATAGTCATTTCAAACGAAAGTCACTCCCTGAATCCATGAGCAATCAGTCTGCTGTGTTAGTCAGTCCACTCTGACTGAGCATTTCATCTAGTTTCCACATTATGGTGCCAAAATAGGAAAGCATACAGGAAGCTAAAGGAGAGTGTCTTCATAACAATTCTGAGATTGCACCACCTGCTAAAGAGATCAAAGACAGGTCAAAAGTAAGTAACCAGCCTCCAACAGATGTTCCTAAAAGCCAGAGACCACCAAATTCAGCATTTCCAGAGAAAGGAGGACAAGATTTCCCAGCTAAAGCCATTCTTTTCAGTCTAATGAGGTACAACCAACAAGGTACTGTCTATGACAAGGTGGCTGAGAAACTCCTGAGCTTTTACTCCACAAAGCTGCAAAGCAACTTACCTGGTGTCAAACAGTCCCAAAACCCGAGAGCGAAATCCCAACAGAAAACAAGCCTCACCTAAGCCTGGGTTAACCCAAATTGTAAGATTTTATTCTAAAGCTACAAAATGCATCAAGCTCCTCAGTCTGTTTGAAGCCCAATTTTGACACAGCAGCTTGAGGAAGACATTCCAGACTGCACAGCACAGTGATACAGATGCACCAGTGCCAAGCTCCTCATCCCAGCCATGCAGTTTGCAGCAAGACACTGTATTAGGGCATATGAGAGAAATGCCTTTGTGTGACTGTTTTAGTAGCTGATTAGTTACTTCAAAAGCAACAGCACAAGGAACTAGCAAAATTAACAGCTCCACGCATGAGAGACAGGAGAGGCTCCAGGATCACAGGTGGCCATTTCAATGTGGAAGCGTGCATCTGCACGTGGTGGAACCGAGAAAAACTGGCTGCCCAAAACAGGACTTGCAAGCACAAGGCGTAAAGGGAGTAAAGGAAGGCAGACATAAGCTTCATGGACTAAAAGACTCCTGTGAGTTTGGAAAGATCCAAGCAACAGTTCCTTTAGCTGCCGATCCGTTCTTCTCACAATGTGACTTACAGAGACACTTCCAACACTGACTACTGAGATCTACTGCATGGATCTAAGAAATCCTCTTAAGTGTAGAAGGAAGCACAACAACAGGTCCTAACGAGAGACAGATGTCCTTCGTTTTGATTCTTTGCCTATATCCCAATCAAATCAAAGAACTGCACCATGGAAAACCACCTTCAAGTGCTTCCAGGCAACAAAGGCTAAAAGTCTATTTCAGAAAGCTCCACCATCTCCTCTAGACTGGTGAAGTGGAGAACATGAGTTTAAATGCATTTGTTCATGAGAAAACTTCCAATTTACAGTGCCCAAACCCCAAAGATCACTGGTCTGGCCTGGATATGCACATCCCAAACTCAGCAGCAGTAAAGTTCCACTGCTGGCTTTTGTAGCAAGTCAGACTCTATTACAACAACTCCATGGCAGCACTACAAGCAAAACCACACAGAAATCCTCCCACATACGGCTTTGCAAGGATATGTAATGGTCTAATCATTTGGTCCTCAAACCAGGCTTATCCATCCAGCAATGTACAACAGAGCAGACAGGATGTGTCACAGATGCCAGCAAAGACACCAGAGGACTCCCCAATCCAGGTAATTCCTTTACTATCATACTTTACAGATTAAGTTGCTTTCATCCCCTCCCCTTTTTCTGCAAACAGCAATTGTCAGTACTAGTACAAGCAGTGGGACAGGAGCTGAGCAGGAAGGACAATGAGCAAGGTGGGTAGCGTAGGACCAGCAGTGAGGGAAGGAAGAGGGGGAATAAAATCACTTCTGTACAGTCTAAAATCCACAGCAGCAGCGGCTGAGTTCAAGGAAGTGCAAAATTTGATATAGCAGTGCCATTGAGACTGTCTATGTATCAACCCTGACTTATTAAATACACTCTAAAAGCAATAAACAGTGGAGTCCACATCACTTCATCCAAACATGTGCTTTCGTCACTGAGCTTAAATGGACTTTTCCCAGTGAAGAAGCTGAAGTAGCAAAGGAGACTGAGACTAAGTCTGGGTCCCCGCAAAGGTGACTGCAACAGTCCTGGTTTTGTACACAACCAACAAAACATGACCAGAGGGAAAAAGGATTAAAGTCCACCGAAACCTACCCTCATTGCCAGCAACTGCACTGCCTGGAATTTAAATAAGGCTGCCGTGTAGTTTGGAAAAGAAAATTCAGCTCCTGGATTTCCTCTCAGGGTTCATTCACCAAACAGACCATTACCAATGCTCCATTTCCTACTTCTGCTCACAGAACTCTGCTGTTCTTCATCATTTTGCCTGGTACTGATGGCACAAAATGTCAACTTCAGCTTCAGAAGCCTTCACTCTTTATGTTTTTCCCCCCTCAACATCGACCCACCAAAACCAAACCCTGTTACTGTTTATGGAAGAACTGACAGAAGTTATAAAAAAGATATCCAAAGATGTTTTGCCTTTGAACTAGTACTCAACCTGCAGTCTAATAGTGCTGTAAAATTTTGCCTCTCCTTGACAGCAGCTGAACATTCAGTGAGCAAGTGCCATTTGGGAAGATAAAACTAGGACTATATTAAGTCAGGGTCTGTACAAAGCAAGGCCACCAAGCAAGGCAACGACGCTCCCGCTGGGTTCCTTACCTGTCAAAGGCTGTCCCAGCTCCGCCTGCACTTTACCCTTCGCTGCTCCTTCCAGAGGTAAAGCACCTCTGTCCCCTTTGTAGAGTTTCGGTTTAAATGGAGAATCTTTGTCTTTACCTTTTGATCCTTTAGGCCTGCCTGCTTGCTTCTTCTTGGATTTACCATCTCCCTTCACACCCAGCAGCGGATGGACTTCTGCGGAAAGACAACGTGGCACCAAAGTGAATTAAACCTCAGCACGTACAGCACCAGATATAAACAGCATTAAAAACTAACAGTATCGGGACATCTTACTTCTCCCTAGCTTGCAAAATGCCAGCAAGAGTGGGCAGCTATTCATAAGTGTTATAAGAAGTGACTTCAAAGTAACAAGTGGCATTCTGAACTTCTGCTCTTCAGACAAGGTAAAGGCAAAGCTCAAAGCCATCTCAAATGCAGAACAAGCACTAAAACAGTTGCAGCTACTACACACCATCATTAGGTACTCCTTGTAGTTCAATGTTGGTGGTTTTGGGCTTCTTCTTTGGTGCCTGGGGTCCATCAGAGGAGCACTGCCTCTTCTTCTCAGAGCCTATTCCCTCATCAGTTAAAGAGCTCTGAACCGCATCTGGTGGAGGCCCATAGGGGTTTTCTTCTGGATCTTCAACTTCAGGAGCAATGGGTAAGTAAAGCAGAGCCTTGGAGTCCTCCAGTTCCTCATCACTGTGAAGGAAAAATGTCTGCTTTCATT